TCATGATCCATGTTGTATATTTAATGAGTTCACCCATGTTTACTTAAGTAGTTTTTTTTGTGTTTTTTGTTAATTGATTTTTTTCAATTTAATTCTTTTTCATCGTGTTGTTTGAAAATTGGGTTCATAATTTTATTTAATATTTTTTTATTAGGTTATTCTGGTTTCATGATCTAGTTTACTGGTTTTGTAAGCTAACCCATGTTAGCTTGTGTTTGATTTTTTTTAATTTTATTATTCAATATTGGATTGATTAGAAATTGAGTTTTATATTTTTTTTTTAATTTTCTCTTTGTGTGATATCTCGTTCTCTTTACTCAGGTCACGTGTTTAACAAGTTATTTTATGTTTTTGATGTCTTTTTTATGAAATTGAATATTGTTTTTCAAATTTATCCTCCAATATTTGGTTAATTGGTTTATTTTTTATATTTCTGGATTAATTAAAAATATGTATTGAATATTATTTTATTAAGTTCCATTTAATTTTACTTTGTGAAGTGTATTCTATTTTATCTCTTGCTTTTGGAAGAATAGAGAGTTTGAACGTAAAACGTCTTTAATTAAGATTGTATGTCCAATATTGTCTGCTCAATGAATTTTCTTCTGAGTATTATCTATCCATTATTAATTTTGATTCAAATATTATATGCTAGTATAATGAATTTAGACAAATAAATTAAACTATCGAATAATTTTGTCAAATTAACTGATCTGAGCTTTCATCCAAATCACAAGCGAAGCCTTGTCCTATATATATGGTTTGTTGAAATAACGCATGCAAAGACAAAGTATTTTGTGTTTCTTCCTCTCAGAAACTGCTTTGAAACAATTCAAAAAATGAATTAACATAGGAAGAAACAGAAATTCCACTCAAGATTAAGGGAACAATCCAACACGCACACAACGCAAAGAACAAATTAAAACACACATAAAGTTATTGCAGGTATGTAAAACAGCTGAATCACATAAACTTTCAGGTAATTTCTAGTTGAGAGGGTTCCTGTTAGTATCCTGTCATGCACTGTCAAACCGATATGAGCTTTCATCCATCATTGGTTGTGGCTTCGCAGCAGCAGATTCCTTATAGAGATCATATCTAGGTTGGTTCAGGTTCACATTCATAAATGGATAGTTCGCAAGTGGCATTGTCTTGAAAAAACCTGGATATTGATATTGATCCACTATATAGGATTGTTTCATGTGGTCTCTTTCCTTCATCATTTCCTCGTATTGAGCTGCATGAATAACTAAACACCGTTAATACTTGATATTTACTTCAAATTAGTTAAGCAAGAAAGAGAGATAGAGGGACTTAAGGGAGAGACCTTCTTTGAACATGAGTTCACTAGAACAAGAAGAAAGCTTATGCTTAATTGAACTGTTTTCCATTCGCAGTAATGAGTTCTGGCGATTAGAGTACTTGATCCTAGGACCGATGATTGCCACCTCCGCCTGATAGATACGTATAAGACTAGAGAAGATAAGTAACTAACAACTTGCAGCAAAAATTTATTACATCGAGGGATCAGATTTTATTTTTGTTACTTGGAGAGATTTCACTTCTGTTTCAAGTTGCATAATATATTGCATCTGCCTCAGTCGGTATTTCTGAGAATACTGTCTGCTTGCCATAATCCTATGAAAAGAAAAAGAAAAAACCGTGAGTTCCAGAATCATTAATAATTTAAGGTGGTAAACTTATTACTTTCAAATTAGATTTAACTGCATTATTCTTCATGATTTGATATCATATTTATTTATATATTAAGTTAATCGCCATAATTATATGAAAACTATAAATAATAAATATTCTGACAATAAGGAAAATAATAAACAAAAATCTAATTCAATGATGGTATGGTTAAATGAATGTGAAAAGATAAATCCACCTTCTGAGCCTCTTGGGGTCCAAGTTAGGGTCAACTGGACGACCCTGAGGAGCCTGCTGGTTGGTTTGATCAGTGCTTGGCTGATTAGTCTCGGCTGGGACTTGTTTGTCAAGGATGTTCTGGTTTCCATTGGAAACCAATGGAGGTTGAGAGAGTGCAAGATCTGTTGCATAACTCTCAGTGATGTTCTCCATCTTCTGAGCAAATTTTCTTAATAGCCTACAAAAAAGAGGAAAGATGACTTGAATGAGTGAACAAGAAGTGAGAATTGGTTCCTCTTTTTATAGCAATTCCTTTCTGCAAAACCACGATATCCTTGACTCTGGCTATTCCAGTTTACCTTGCCTTCATATATCCTATACGTTTACGCCTGTTGCTAATCTGTCTATTCCATATATGCTTATATATACCTGCCAAAACTCCTAATGGGAGGCATGGGTTACAGTTTTTGGGCAGTTTGGTCATTATGTTGAAAAATCATATATTAACAAATTTTTTATATTAAATTTTATATAAACTGATTTGTTTACTTGTGAAGAGAGGATCAGAAATGACTGCAAGGAACTAAATTCATTTTCACTTTTGGGTTAAAGCAAGAAGTTGTAGTTTATTTTTGTGTTTGAAAATGGGTTTAGATACATTTTAAAAACACCCAAATTAATATATTTTTTAAAGATTTATTTTAAAAATCATATTATATCAAATATTAAATACATATTAATGCGGTGTTTGATATAGTGGTTACTTTTTAAAATATTTTTTTTTTATAAATATATTAGAATAATATTTTTTATTTTTAAAAATCAATTTTAACATCATCACATCAAAACAATCTAAAAATATTTAAAATAAAAATTTTTAGAAAAAATAAATTTTACTTCTTTAGAAAAGCTGTTTGGAATGCAATTCTAAACCATCCCTAAATATGTTTATTTAGCATTAAAAAAATATATTATTTTTATATTTTTTCAAATAAAAAAACAACCACAACTTTAATTTTAAAAAAATATCTAAATAAATATAAAAAACTTGCTTGTTATGGAAAAATGCTGGCGTTGTTAAATATGAAAACGTCATAAATACAAATCTAGTATACTTCTGTGCAATGGAAATATATCGAATTCGGAGGAGCCTTGGCCATAAAAAAGGAAATGGCGTCGGAAGAATCTAGGCACGCATATCATTCATGGATTATAATTCAAATCACAGAATTTGTTTCGCACCACGATACACTGATAAAAAAAATTAATGGCATTCTATGTGCTTGGTTAAGATGATTGTTAAAAGAAAATTTCCATAAAAAAAATTAAATTATCACATAATGTTTTAGGAAAGTTTACTGGACTATGATATTATAAAAAAATTATTTTAATTTTAAAACTTGATTATTAAATAAAAATTTAGAAATAATTTTATATTAATTCTTTAACAATTATAAAAATATACATTTTTCTAAATTACCTTAATAATCACTCATTAGATTTTTGATATTTTTTAATCGATAAAGAGTTTGATTGTTTATTAATTACTAATTAGTTAAATCGATATTCTTCATTATCCAGTAATTGATATATTCGTGGTTAATAATGTTCATTGGTTTATATTTAACAAGATGGAAATAATTGCTTAATTGAGTCATTTTTAAAAAAAAATTTCATAAGTAAATCACATCTACACATGTATTTTCTTGACAATGTTATCGATGAAGAATAGTTTACAACCCGACATTGGTTGACTAAAAAATAGTCACTAAACTACTCATTTGGAATTTTGGAACATATACAGATGAAAAGGGAAATTCTGATAAATCCTACTAATAAATTTAAAAGTAAGTTGCTACGTGTTCTTAACAAGTTTAGAAGAATTACTAGTTCGTAAAACATGCCTTTTGAGATAGCATAAACAGAGCTATGCGTGAACCGATTGATGCTCTGCAAGACTAAATTGATTTTCTTATTTTTAAAGCAAAATTAATGATAAGAATTAGCTTGTCCATGAACTAATGGTGGCGCAACATAAATATCAAGTGAAATTGAGAGCAGATAAAATAAATCACTCTGAAGCGACTGAATGCATAAGTTGTAGATTTTTAAATACAAGGGCCCAAATAAAAAGGTTTAAAAGTTTGGTGAAGCTAATTAAAATTCTTGAAGCCAACCCACCCCACGGGCAAGTGGGTGGTACTGTCCTCGCATCCTTTTTCTGTTTTCTGGGCCCAAAGGCCCAAACCAAAGGAACAATACTCAAGTACATTCTTTTTTGCCTCACTCTGCGAGGTCAGCCCCACAGCACGTCCTTTTAAGTTTTAGCTGGCCATGTCTCGTAATTAAATCCACTGTGCAAAAGAAATGTCTTTTTTTTATTATTAAAAAAAGAAGGATGAGGAGGAGGTATCTGATCATAGAAATTTAGTTATTTTTTTAACAGTGAAATTTTTAAAAATTATTAATTTAGATTAAAATTTAACTTGAAACAAGTTTTTCAAAATAATAAATGTGAGAGAAATGGAATAGTGGCTATTTCTTAAAATATTTTTTATTTTAAAATGTATTAAAATAATATTTTTATTTCTGATATTAACATGTTAAAATTATTTTTAAATCAAAAAAATTATTTTTTTTAGCAAACACAATAAAAAAGAAAGAAGAAAAGGCTACCACTATAATTACAAAATTGTAGTATTCGGGTGGTAATCAAAATTACTGTAGAATAGCACACAAAAATCTCATATAATTTTATGGTGAGAAATGGAGCTGCTAAATGGATTAAAAATAAAAAATTAACATTTTAATTTTTCTTATTGGTTTTTTATATTTTAAAAAATTAAATAAAATGTTAAAATGCTGTTTTTTTCTATAAATATTATTTTTATATATCTCTTAAAAAAATCAAAACTAATAAAGTGGGACCAATAAAAATATAAACTAATTAAATATAGTTATATGTAAAAAAAATAACATCATAATTATTAAAACACTTATTTATTTTTCTCTAATAAAATTATTGGATTTTCTAATAATTTTTTTATTGAAGAATATATAATTAAAAAAGTTATATTTTATACTATTTAAAATATTATTTTATTAATTTATCTTTTTGATATCGCATCTCCATGGAGATGCCCTAACAATTTAAGGAATTAACTGTGCTGTTTGTTGTCTCTCCAAACGGCTTAACGATTTTGGCCAAGCGCGCATGACTGATCGTTGAAATTATTTGCGCGAACAACCAAAACAAAATCAAAATGCGCTCGAGTAAATTGAACTGCTCCTTCCATGCCTCTCTTCGATATCACCCTCACAGCAGACCTCTCTCTAACTTGAAGCCCATTTTCATTCTCGCTCCTTGTCAAAGAATCAGTAATAGTTGTACTCCTAGATTTGAGGTCGGATTTCAAACATCATTGAGGAGATCTAGAGGGGATCCAACAATAAAGATAGCAGCAGTAGCTATGCTTCATCAGAATCCCGTCGTCTCCGATTTAATAGCCACTGGTTTATCCGCTACTATCGCTCTCTCTATCCTTCGTTTCTTTGCAGAAACTACAAAACGACACGTCTTCGACCAGGTCACTCTCTCGCTCCATCGTGCTGTTTCTATTGTTTTGATTTATTTTTATAAAAATAATTATTTTAATATATCTCTAATTAAAAACAATTTAAATAAACAAAGAAACGTTCTAGGTTGGCAAGGCTACCCTTCCGGAAAACAAACAAAAACCAATTTTTTTGCTGTTAATTAGGCCTTAAAACGTTGACAAAGACAAGCAAAATACCGTGGGCGGCTGCAATGTGGACTGGTAGTAACCCAGTTGTCTCCGATCTTTGCTCGGCTGTTGTGTCGGCCGTTGTTATTTTCGCGTTTCTGCAACTATGGAAAGAAACCGCAAAACACGGGCTTGACCAGGTTTTTTTTTTTTTTTTGCTTTAGTTTTAGGATAAACACCTGATTTTTTGCACTATATTTTGATTAACAAGCTTGCATAACGACTACTGGGAATTTACATGAATTATCGATGTTAATTTCTGCTTTTTGATAGATTCCATGAGGTGATATTCATTTATTATTTGCTTCGTAGGAGATATTGTCTATGAGTCATACCTTGTTTCTTAAAATGGGATGTGAAATATCAATCTTCTCCTATGAAATAACCTATCGTGTTCAGCTAATTAGGGGTTGATTGACCTTCTTCTTTTCTTTGTTTAGAAACTGAATAGGAAGCTCGTGCATATAAGCATCGGGTTAGTTTTTATGCTGTGGTGGCCGATTTTCAGGTAATTTTATGACTAGAGAAGCTTGGCATAATATTGCTATAAATCTGTCCCATTAAACAGCTATTACAAATTATTGTAGTTCTGGCCATCGGGGAGCACTTTTAGCAGCTTTAACTCCTGGTGTTAACATAATACGAATGCTTCTTATTGGATCTGGAACGTGGAAGGATGAAGCTACGGTGAAATCAATGAGCAGATTTGGAGACCGCAGGTTATAACTTACAGCTCTGGATGTAAAATTCATGAAGCCTCCGTGTTAAATGTCTTGAAGGCTTCCTTCTCATTATTGATCCCTCCCGTTTTGAACTGATTCAGCTGCGCATTTTACTCCTGATTTGTTCCTCAAGATTTTGTTTGATTTGGTGGATTAGACGGGATACTTACTGTACATATTTTTTAAGTGAGTTGTTTTGTTATGAAGATAACTGCTAGGTTGGCGCTTATTTTTCTTAGATAAAGGTTTCTGAACGAACACTTCTTGTTTTCTAAGCGATCCATTAGTACTTATTTGGAGTTTGACATATCATGATATTTATGATACTCAATTTGACCACCTCATCTTTCCTCCATTCATCAGGGAACTTCTTAAAGGACCACTGTACTATGCCTTGACAATTACCGGTGCTTGTGCAATCTATTGGAGGACTTCCCCGGTTGCAATTGCAGCAATATGCAACCTGTGTGCTGGAGATGGTATTTTTTAATTGATCAGTAATATACATTCTTTACTTCAACGTATAACTAGACTGCTTACTCATTTAAGTTTCAGTACATGGAAGAACTGATATGCTTGAGACTTTCTTTTTGTGCTGTGCCTAATAACTGCCTTTTTTTCCTGCTTCTTTTTTAACCAGGGATGGCAGACATTGTGGGAAGGCGCTTTGGAAGGCAGAAAATCCCATACAACAAAAACAAGTCTATAGCTGGTAGTGTTGCAATGGCCCTGGCTGGTTTCGTGGCTTCTGTTGGGTGAGTCTTACTCTTACGTAATCTCATGTCATAAATTTGTTGATGCTGTTTGTGCTGATGCATAATGTAGAAGGTTGGTTAGTGATCAGGTGATATGGTGACAGGTTTATGTATTATTTCGCCTCTTTCGGATATGTTCAGAAAAGCCGGGAGATGTTATTGGGTTTCTTGGTTGTCTCTCTTGCCTCGGCTTTTGTGGAATCACTCCCCATAAGTACAGAGCTTGATGATAACCTAACAGTTACCCTAACTTCTATATTGCTGGGCCACCTTGTTTTCTGATGTCCAGAATTGCTGTTTGCTTGTGAGCTAGCATTCTTATCTTTGGTCAATTCATGCTTAATGTATTACGTGTGAGAAGTGTCGATGGTCAGAAACTCGAATGTACTAATACTTGCGAGCCCCATGGCCTAACCAAGTGAAAAGTGACAGCTTCCTGAACTGAGTCCTCATCTAATCAGCGCTGAACGTACAGGGTCCTGTTCGCTTATCCTAGACTAGAGATTCCTGGTAGGGACCTGATTTCACTATTTTTTTAATTTATTTTTTTTAATAAAAAAATTATTTTTAATTGAGGTTAGTTTGGTATTTATACATGTTTGATTAAAACTATAGTTGAAATTAAATTTAAATAAAAATAATTTAATATGTTTGAGTAAATATGTTTTTTAAATTAAGATTATAAAATAACTAAAAATAATATATATTAATATTAATAGTTTTTAATTTAAATATTATAGATTTAATTATCACTATTATATTATTAAATAAATAATATTTTAATTGTTTCATTAATTTGTTTATAATTTTATTATGTATGAAATTCATTTGATAATGATTATATTTTTCATGGTTCTTTGAGTGTATAAAAAAATTAGGTAAAATATTATCATAAATAAAATTATAATTATAATTAAATTATACAAATGTTATATTATCATTCAATCTCTTTTTAATTTATATAGTGTTATAAAATAATATTTAATACTAAATTTTAAAAAAAAATTCAGGTCGGAAATGATTCAATAAACGATGGAGTCATTGTTCACATTATTCATGTGAACAATGATACATGAATTAAATTTAATTCATGTATTATTGTTCACATGAACAGTGCTAAGTGAAATAATCCATTTGGATGCAAATAACAAATTATGTGAGCCTTAAGTTTTTTCTTTCTCTTGACAATGCGCGGGTAAAAGTGAAACAATAATTTTTTGTTTCACCAAATCTAGTGATACAAACTCAATTTTTAATGAGATTCATCTCCAAAATCTATATTTAAAATATTTACTAAATAGTTATAAATTATGATTAGAACAAAATATAATTCCAATCACAATATCAAATAATACTATAATTAAATTATCTTAACTTAATAGTTTTATAAATGGTGATTCAGTGTTTTCAAAAGTTTAAATTATTTAGTATTTTTACTTGAAACTATGTTAAAATAATTTTTTTATTTTTAATATTAATATATCAAAATTATTATAATGTATTAACAAAATATTAATTAATAAATATATTTTTATTTTATTTGTTTATTTACTTTTGCCTAATATAAAAAAAAAATTGAAAATTATTAAGTTAGTAAAATATACATATTCTATAAAGACAAAACAATATGATAGTTACAACTATGTACTGTCTCGTCAACATCAATCAATAAAATAAAATATTATGATGATTCAACATTAATCAATAAAATAAAATATTATGATGATTACTTTATCTTAAAATACAATTATCGTATGCCACTGCATTTTCATCTTTAATTAATTCAGTTTGAGATGATATTATAACCTAATTTTGGATTCACTTGAATATTATTTTATTTTATTATTCATAAAAAAATTTAAAAAATTAAGAAGAAAGTTTAAAATTTAAAAATATATTTTTCTCTAGTCAACCGCATCTTTCCATAAAAATCAATTCCACCAAGTCAATAGGAGTCAAACCATGTCGATTAGGCTAAAAAATGAATTTCGGGTCGAAACCATCATTTTTTTATCAAAATTGAATCCATTGAGTCAATACGATCAAACTATGTCGACCAGGGTAAAAAATAAGTTTTGGGTCGTTTTAGGTCAAAACTGTTATTTTCGATCAAAATCGAGTCCACCAGGTTAATATGGATCAACCATGTTGGCCGGGATAAAAAAAAATAAGTTTCAGACTATTTTTAGGTCAAAACTGTTATTTTTTATCAAAAAACACAGTCCACCGAGTTGATACGTATAAAGAGTTTTTTTTTAATGTTTCAACATATTTTTCAGTAATTAAAATTGATTTTTAGCGGTTGAAACGAGTTTTCTCTAATACTGATTTGAGTTTTTAGTTTTACCCATATAAATATTTATTATTATATATAATAAAACAAAATTAATAATACAAATTTTTTGTCATAATAGGCGGAGCAATTGTGCCGATGGTAGGCGGGACAAGTATAACAATAAATTTTTTTTAAAAACAGATCGTGCCACAATCATGAGATTTTCATGTCCCCTCCTCATTGGCTATAAATGGCCAGTGAAAATTCGACAGAAGGAAGAAGAGAAAAAGAGATGGGGAAAAGAAAGAAAGAGTATAGATTTTGGTTACTATTCAGGTTTTTTTTTTTACTTTTTCTTCACTGGAGTAAGATATTGATTTTAAAAAAACAATTTGAAAAATATCAAAAATATCATAACAGTTAGATCTAACAATGTTTAGTTATGGACATTTGATTTAATAGGATACAATAGGGCTTACCATTTTGGATTAAAACCCAAATCCATCTTAGCCCTTAAAATAATCTGCCCTTCTATCCTGTTGTGCCACGTTACTCGATGTACCCAGCTCTCGATACACCGCGACACACTAGATTAAAAGCTTAGCCTATCCAGACTGTCCGATCAACTTGCAGATCAAGTCAATCACAGCTAAATGATCAATTCATTCGCGATCCAGCGGTTTAAAACCTTCCGTGGTACCAGCGTACCATGCTAAAGTTTACACCGTAGCAAAACCTCAAACTCTCTCTCCCCTCTTACCGGCAACTCTCTCTCTCTCATCCGATCTCCCACCTCCAGCCTTTTAAAGCCTCTGAACCACTACAAAAAGCTTAATCGCCTCCTATAAAGCAAAACCCAGGTAGTTTTCATCTCTCTCTCCACCTCATTTGGCTCGAAAAACGTTGCAATTTATTTGACCACCTAGAGTTTAAAATTGTCGATTCTCCTTCATCAGTCATCAAATGCCATCGAAACCACCATCATCAGAATCGTCTTCATTAGATCTACCAGAATCAAACATTCTTTGGCCGGAAATCTTGTCGAAAAAATTCACCACCTCCAACAGTGACTGCACATGAGCTACACGGGCATTTTCATAATTTTCTGAGAAATTCAAAGGTATTTTAGTCTTTTACCTATACGGTGGCACTCAGGTAATTTTTTAGATTCCTAATGGTATTTTTAATATTTTTATATATAAGTATTTTGTAAAATTTCTTGCATGTTGTAAAACAAAAAAAAAACCAAAAATAAATATAAAAGTAATAACGACGCGGGTCCAATACCCATTTTATCATGTCATCGTTCGTGAGTCTAAAGCCCAATTTTCAAGTATGTTATACCCATTTCTCAACAATATCAAAATAATTTTTTGTTTTATAAATGAATATTATTTGTCGACACATCTGTTTTTTTTTAAGGATTGATGTTAAAAATTTCATTACCAAATATGGATTATGTTTATTATTTTTCTCTTTTGGTACTCCAAACACAACTCTCCTTTTTAGGGTCAAATGTCAATATTGTATACGAGTCTTCTATTTTTAGAGACTGATGTCATTTGTTTTTTTTTTGACGTGTTTTTTACAAACATTGTTTGTTGACACGTCTCTTTTATTTACAGAAAAGGACTGCTGTCAAAAGTTTAAATACAAAATATGAATTATATCCATTGTTTCTTTTTGGTAACTCAGACGTAACTCTCCTTTTAAGATTAAACGTTGTTATTTTAGCCGAGTCTCTTATTTTTAGGGGCTGATGTCATTTTTTGATATATCTCCTATTTTTAGGGACCGACATTAACCATCTTTAAAAAACAAATCGCAAATAAACTCAAAATATTATAACATTTGAATCAAATAAAAAAAACACATAAGTAAGGCTAACTTTTCTCTTGAAAGGATGTTTTAAGAATGATGTCTACATTCCCTTAATAATAACTAACCTAGTACTTGAATCTCTAGAACTAGTGTCTAGTTTGAGATTTCTAGTTCTGTCAAATTACTAGATGACGACTCTAATAAAATTTTCATTTCTCCCAGTCGAGAAAAATCTTTTTTTGTTAAATAAACAAAAAAAGTGGAATCGTTGTTCGACATCGAGTAGCAACAGATGTAATAATGATGTTTATTTAAATTATTTTTTATTAAAAAAATATATTAAAAATTATTTTTAATATTAGAATATTAAAATAATTTAAAAATATAAAAAATTATTTTAAATAAACAAATTTAAATTTTTAAAAAATATATTTTACACCATATTACCAAACATATAATTTTTTTATTTATTTTTTGTATTATTATCCATTTCATATCTGGATAGCAACAGGAGACTGCCATAGAGGAATGTAAGGCACGCTAAAGTTATCTATTGGTGTTATCGGTTGTATGAGTTAATTAAATTTAATTTAAAATATTTTTATTTTAACAGTTTCGTTTATAGAAGAATAAAAAATTATTTTGAAAGAAAAAAAGTCAAAATTGATTTTTAAACTGTTAACCGTATTATTGATTGACTTTTCAAATCAATTTTTACTATTAATCTAAAATCTAGCATAGACTAGGTTATAAATAAACTCTCAGTGATTCACCTATCAAACTAAATAAAGTTTAATGATTATGAGGCATATAAGATATGGTTGTGAATATAATTATAGTTATTTTTTAAAGTATTTTTTATTTGAAAATATATTAAAATAATTTAAAAATATCAAAAAATATTAATTTGAAAAAGAATAATTTTTTTTAATTTTTTAAAATATTTTTAAAAACAAAATAAACATAATCATAGTCTATCTATTGAGGAGAATAGCTTCCCCTTGGGGGCGGTGATAGTGGGTCTCTTGGAAGCAAGGCTGGTGAGGTTAGTGGCATCTACGTTTCGTCGTGTGTAAAGGGGAACTCAGGTGGGAACCTAGATGGTGACAAAACCTTGTTTTGTTGGATTCCCTGTGTGGTTGCTGTATATGGCCTAGGGGTTGCCGTATATGGATGTGCTCAGTTGCTTTTTAAAGCATTATATTAAGATATGTTTTTTAAAAAATAAAATGTAATAAAAATAAGTTGAAATTCAATCTCAAATACTCTGCTTTCGTCGTGTTCCGTACCCTGTTTATTCGAGTTGTGTGGTTGTTTTGAGGGTGTCACTTGCCATCACTCTCGTGGCGGGTAGCA